AAACCCCAAACCCTCAGGGAATGGCGGGAAATCTGGAGAGATGGAAGGAATAGAGGGGGAGGGGGCCGCGATAAGGATGCCAAGCAAGGGTAATCAGCGGGGGATTGGGACATTTTTCTCCTGCCTTGGGGTAGAAGGAGGGGAGGATTGTCAATACACGGCAGTCGTATATGAGAAGGGAGAAAAGGGAGGAAAGAAAAAGAAAGAAGGAAAAAGAAAGAAAAGAAAGGGAAGGAAGGAGAAAGAAAGAAAGAAAGAAAGAAAGAAAGAAAGAAAGAAAGAAAGAGGAAACTAGAAAGTCAGTTGTCTCTTGACCTTCGTGACTTCAATGGCATAGAAAGAAAGAAAGAAAGAAAGAAAGAAAGAAAGAAAGAAAGAAAGAAAGAAAGAAAAAAGGAAGGAAGGAAAGAAAGAAAACTAGAAAGTCCAGTTGTCTCTTGACCTTTGAGACTTCAATGTCATAGAAAGAAAGAAAGAAAGAAAGAAAGAAAGAAAAAGGGAAGGAAGGAGAAAGAAAAAAAGGAAGGAAAGAAAGAAAACTAGAAAGTCCAGTTGTCTCTTGACCTTTGAGACTTCAATGGCAAAGAAAGAAAGAAAGAAAGAAAGAAAGAAAGAAAGAAAGGGAAAGAAAGCACCCCCTTTAGGCTTCCAAAGTTGGGGGGGAAAACCCCAGGTATTTTTATCAGGGTCTTTCTTTCGCCACTCTAACCCTGGCAATGCTCAGTCATCTACAAAAACGCTTTGCCTCTCCAGAGAATCCCTGATTGAAACACGCCTCGTGTCCCCTTCCCCTCCCCTCCCCTCCCCACCCACCCCTCATCTTCACTGAGGACACAGCAAGACCTGAAAGAAAAGGCTTAAAAAGCCAGCGAGGTCCATCCGGAGGGGAGACTCGCCAGCGCAGAGACGGCGCCTCCTCTCCTCTCCGTGTGCGGCTCTGGGCCCGGGGGACAGGAGGAGCTCCTCAGGGCCAGGTCGACGGGGGGAGGACGGGACTTCTCCTGGGGACAGAGGAGCCGCTCGAGGCTGGAGAGCGAGCCCCGCCGAGACCCTCAAAGAGACCAGCTGGTGGAGGGTTCGGCGGTGCTGGGGGTGCCTCTGGAGGAGGTGGGGCTGGGAGAGCTACTGCTTGCCCCGCCACTGGTGCTCTGGGCGTTGGAGCCGGCAAGGAGGTGGACGACGGGCTTTTGAGCAAAGAGGACTCCTGTCGGGTGGGAAGAGAGGAGGAGAGGTTAGTTGACGGCCTGAAGCAGCTTGGCCGAGGGAACCAAAGTTTCTCCTTTGGGGAGAATCGCGGAGGAGGAGGACAAGTCCCTAAGGTGCTTTTTCAAAAGGCAACTGAACTTCCTTGGGCGAGTTTTGTTCCCCCCCGCTCTTGAAAATCTTTCCCTTCTCATCCATGATGAGACTTTTAGTTCAGACTTCTTTAGCTGTACAATTTGGGATGAAGACCCTTTGAGTGGCGTGGGAGGAGGAATGGGTTTCCAGAGAAGAAGAAAAATTGCAGACTACAAGAGCCAGGAGCACCACTCAGGTGACCCTGAGGACGCAGGTAAAACTCTTCAAAGTGCCTCAAAGACCCTCTAAAGGTAAAGGTTCCCCTTGCACATATGTGCTAATCATTCCCGATTCTAGGGGGCGGTGCTCATCTCCGTTTCAGAGCCGAAGAGCCAGCGCTGCCCGAAGACGTCTCCGTGGTCATGTGGCCAGCATGACTCAATGCCAAAGGCGCACGGAACGCTGTTCCCTTCCCACCAAAGGTGGTTCCTATTTTTCTCCTTGCATTTTTAACGTGCTTTTGAACTGCTAGGTTGGCAGAAGCTGGAACAAGTCACGGGGGCTCACTCGGTTATGTGGCGCTAGGGACTCGAACCGCCAAACTGCCGACCTTTCTGATTGACAAGCTCAGCCTCTTAGCCCCCGAGCCACCGCGCCCCTCAATGACTCTCTAAAAGGATGCGAATGACCAGCTGCCTGCAAGGAGCATAAATCCTTCCCTTCCCCACCAACCAGCCAGAGCCGAAGAAGCTTCTTGGATGAGAAGGGAAACGTCTTCGAAGAAGAAAGAAGAAGAAGAAGAAGAAGAAGAAGGAGGAGGAGGAGGAGGAGGAGGAGGAGGAGGAGGAGGAAGAAGAAGAAGAAGAAGAAGAAGAAGAAGAAGAAGAAGAAGAAGAAGAAGAAGAAGAAAGAAGAAGAAAGAAGAAGAAAGAAGGAGGAGGAGGAG